TCTTTTGACTTTCTGTAGCACTGTCAAAGCTAAATATTATACTTCAGAAAATCTATGCTCTAACAGGACTGAAAGAAGTTTCATGTGCCGATGGTGCTGCAGCTCATAGATTTGCATCCCTTACAGTATATCAGTTGCATACTAATAGATTGGGGTTGTTTTTATTCCTCTCCTTTTATTTTCAGGTGATCAATTTTTTATAAAATCAAATTAAATGGATACTGAACAACATGCTTGGTAAGACTATCCAGCATCCACTCACTCTTGTCAGATCTTCAGGCAAATTGTACCTTAATTTTACTTCCGTGTATTCTAGAAACATCATGCAAATGGCTCATTAACTTCTTTTAATCAAACAACAGTACATCCAAATTTTATCTGGGGGTCATTTATTCATTTTCAGAAACCAAGAAAACTTAAGAGAAGATCTGTGAGTAATTGTATCTGCTGGGGGCAGGAACAATTGGTACCATTCAACTGGAATAGAAAGTAATTGGTGGTGGAGAGGCACACATATATTTTAGAATGGATAGAGTGGCAGGACTGGATGACTTAGTGAACTAGTAATGGAAACTTTTTGCCTCCAGGTTTCTAGTACTGAGTGAATATATTTAAGATTGGACAAATGTTTAGCGAACAATGTGTGAAGAGCTAGTGGATCTGTGAAATTAATCTCGGGTCACACTGAGGAGCTGCTTCTTCACAAAAGCAGAAGTATCACAAGTGCTGTAAATTACACCCTTCTTGGTAGCTTCACCAGAGGTCAAAGGGTTGTGCTGGCTGCTCTTACTAGCCTCTCTCTAGAGATCACTAGAGTGGGGGAAAGCTTAGACTGCAGCTATCTGTGCTATAGTTGTTATGCAGAAGCACAGAGCCTGGAACTAAAATCTTCTCCCAGCATCTTTCACAACTCCTACCCTTCTGTTTTGTTTTGACAGCTTTGGGATATTTCCTTAGTAGGGTATTGGGTTACTTTAAAGATAGGTTGCTCTGCCTGAAGGCATGGTCAGCAGCTAGTAAGAAGGCACAGTCAGCAGCTGTAGGTACAGACAGAAGAGCAGCTTCCATTGTAACTCGTGGCACTTCACAGGAAGCGCCATGGGTTACAACAATCCTCTGGACCCAACAGATGTTCACTGTTGGGTCCCGAGTATTGGGAGACTGAGCTGCTGTTTAGAGTGGCTTCAAGCCTACAGCTGCTCTCCCCTAGCAACACCCCTCCCCCTTCCCAACTCTTGTGCTGTTTTCAGAAAGGGATAGGGGAAAGAGAGCAGAGGGAGCTCATTCTGGGGGTTGCCCAGCCAGCACTGAAGGCTGGGGTGGGTGGATTGGAGTCCCCTCACCTCAGGGGAGCTCCAATGCACCCACGCCACCCTCCAGTACCAGCAGAAAAAACCCCAGACCAAACTCCCTCCGCTCCCTTCCCCACCCCCTTCCCATTCTGAAGACAGCTGCAGGAGCAGGACTGAGCTTTGTCAGCCTGGCCTTGCTCCCAGCGCACACAGACACAAGTTACTGAAGGGGCTCCCAATTACAGTTTTCCGCCCTTTTTTAAGTGCTCTGCAGCTATGCACTGGTATTTGGTCATGGGTGTAGAGTGCTTTCAGGGGCACAATTGGGTGAAAATTGTCACTGCTGTCTGCGCATTGTGTTTCTCATCAGGTTAAGACTCTTCAGCCACTACCCACTTCAAGGAGCAGGCCTAAGACCTAGGCTGATGCAGAATTTCTTTCCACACCTCAGATCAAGAGTTTGCTGTTGAGTCATGTTACAACAGCCCTTCCACATGCTCTGTAAGCCAGAGTGGAAGGTTCCCATAATTACACTGGTTTCCTCAGTTTGGGCTAATGAAGGAAGAGTTGTCCCTAAATGCATTATGGTGATTCAGTTCTTTTCTTTTCCTTCCATCTATGATGTAAGTCCTGGGATAATAGGAAATGTAGGAGTGTGAGGGTCAAATAAAGGGTAACATGTTTAAAAATATAGATTCACCCTAATACCAAGGCCGTAGGTTTTCTGTACCCTGGGAAAATAGACTGAGAATAAATTATAAAGAGGTTATACTAGCTCCCTACCTACTTGTACACACTGTCTACCTTTAGTTTTCACAAGTGTCAGTGTGGCAGGCCAGTCCTGTGTTGAGCCACGCACCTCACTGTACCTGACCACCTTCCAGGCTCCGAGTACCTCCTTGGGGGCACCTCACATCTGGCCGACCCCCATCCTGGAGTACACCCACTAGCCTGGGGTAAAAACTGCCACCACCCAGGGCTGAGCTTTATTCTGGCTCTGTGCACCCTGGGAAATACAGACCTAGTAGCCCTTGAGGGTACTTGACTCACTTCAAGCACTTGGAGTGCTTCTCTCAGTCGGAAGCACAAGTAGTGGTCTCCCTTAGTCAGCCGAACCAAGGGGATCCCAAGGCATAATCTAGACACACACCCAATAAGTCTCCCACACTAGGTACAAAGGAGAACTTTATTGGTTACAAGGCGTAGAGTTGCAATAGGGTACAGGGTAGAGCAATATCAGAGAAATCCCATAGAGCAAACTGGCATGGCTGGGTAGCCTTTAATCACGCATCAGACTTACTGCAAGCTATATATCTAGTTAGACCTCAGGTAGCTTACTCACAAGTATCATCCAGAGGCAGGTAGTTCCTTGATCATGAGTTTTGAGAGAGAGAGCAAGTTTCAGATGGTTCAGCTCTTCTCTCTCTCTCTCTCTCTCTCTCTCTCTGAGTGTTCCTCATGGCTGCTGCTTCCTCCTCCTGGGCAGTCCTTAACTTACTTGGTCCAATGGAGGCCAGCACCTGTTTGTTGTCAGCCAACCAATTTAAAATGCATCACTAGTTGCTGCAGGGATTTAGGTTGTAGCCGTGTTGGTCTAAGGACATAGGCAGACAAGGTTCCTTGGGTGAATTTGATATCTTTTATTAGACCAACCCAAATAGTTGGCGAATAGCTATTAAGCAAGCTTTCGGGTTCAAAAACCCTTCGTCAGGCTAAGGAAGCTTCAGCAGTTGCTGCGTGCTCTTCCTGGATGGAATGAAAAGTAAAGAAGCCAGGGGCTGGGCTGGGCTGGGCTGGGCTGGGGAGTCAGTTGCCAGGCAGATTATAATGTATCAAAAATCCAATGTCTATGTTTAGTCCCTGATCTCTAGTATCCAGGAGGTTGATGAAATGGAGCTCATAGGCTCGTCTCTGGGAAGTTGTGTAAATTTCCCTTGAGGATCAGGACTGAGAGATAGGAGAGAGAGTGGCCCTCCTGTGAGAAATGTGCCCCCACTGGTAATTGGGAATTTCTGTCTTTGATGGATTTCCGGTGTGTGTTCATTCTGGTGCGCAGTTGTTGTCTGGTCTCTCCTACATATCTTCCATCAGGGCACTTGGTGCATTGGATGAGGTATATTACATTCCTGGAGGTGCAGCTGTAAGATTCTGGGATGCTGATGGCTCTGTTGTGGGGTGTAGTAATTGCGGGGGTGGTGGAGATGTGTTGGCAGGTTTTGCATTTCTTGTCATGGCACGGTCTGGATCCTTTTGGTGTGTTCTGGGGTTGAGGAAGTTTGCTTCTGGTGATGAGGTTGGCGAGGTTCGGTGCTTGT